CTGCTCCAGCTGTCTGGCGGACCCTGGCAGCTGGCGGGGGTGCCTGGGCTTCCAGCACAGCCAGTGAGAGCAACGGGGCCTCTGGGGCACGGGTCATCTCGCCCAGTGCCTGCTTTGCAGGCAAGAGACACCCGTGCGTCACCAGTCACCGCTGCGGGGTCCGGTGTCCAGCTCGGTCACCAGCTCTGCTGGTGAGAGCCCACCGACGAGGCCGCCCTGTGTGTCTGGGTGACTGCAGCAGGTGCTGAAATGCTCATCTTGTCTGGTTCAGCTAGGAACCTCCACCAAGAGGCATCCAGGAGTAATCTGCTAATTTTGATTCCTTCATTTTTTTAAAGGTTTCCAATGTTTTTATTCTCCATTTTAACAATTGAACTCTTCAGTTTTGCTAGAGAAATGTAGCGTTGAGTCCACATCAGTTGGAAAGTTGCAATTTCCATTCCAGGTACGAGGAAGTCTCTCTTCGTTGCTTGGGCATGACTGGTATGGGCTTGAGGAGGCCAAATCTGCTCCTTTCTGCAGGCTTTGCTTGCGCTGGGTGACACAACAGCACAAGAACTTGTCTGGCAAGGAGCAAGGCTTTTAGGCAGCCCTTGAGAGGCTGTATCTGTTGTGTAAAAGAAGCAAAAATCTTTCCTGTGCGTTGCTGCTCCTAGCTCTGCCAAGCTGCTGTCCGTCGTGTGCCAGCGGCCGGGGGGTGAAGGGACGGCTGGGAGCACAAACCTCAGCCACGGTGCTGCGGTCCCTCCCCGCGCGTGACTACAGGGCACTGGATTTCTAAAAGCCTTGTGGTAGGTGGAATAACCTCCCCTTCAATGTTCACCCATTTTCAGCATCCCAGGGCAGGATCCTCTCCGCCCTGTGCTGTGTCTAGTGCTTTGTCCTCAGATCACAGCTGTAGCTGCCAGTTTTATATCATGCTAAAAATTAATGAACCAGGGTGCACTGGAATAATCTGCTTTAAAAGGAACAGTCTCAGCAGCCAACTCCTTAAAAATGATAAAAGAGGGGAGTGCGTTAGTGGAGCTGTTCATCTAGGAACTTTACAAGTGATTAAGTTTAACTGTTCAGGGAGCTGATGAAGGGATAGCAGACAGCAGCACCACACCGAGAAGATGAAGAAGCCGAGCGAAACACGAGTGCTTCTGTTTGGCTTGCAATTCAGATGAGCCGCAGTCCTGCCCCTCGGTCTGGCCCCGCTGGGGTCACCCTCGGCGCGGAGGGGCTGCCGGCCGAGGGGGGTCCCCCTGGGCGCGGAGGGGCTGCCGGCCGAGGGACGGCTGCGCAGCAGGCGGGAGGTGCGCGCAGGGCACCCAGCAGCGACGGGCACGTGTTTGTTTGCAGGCTGCTCGCTTTTCAGGTGTTGTATGGTCAAATTGAAGCTGCTGCAAACTGCTTTATGGAGTTTTGCAGCCTTTTTTAGTTGTTTTTGTAAAGTGGTAAGTCTTTTATGCAGAAGTAGCTTCCGGGTGTCCTGCTAGGGGTATTGCTTCTAGGCTGCTTGCTGCTTGTAGTAAAGATCAAGCAAATCCTTGACCAGCATGTGAATAACTTGTGTTTGTATCAAAGGTACTTTTCAATGGATAAGGAAGGCGGGTGTATGGCCTATAAAAGCAAATTTATACTGCTGCTGTTCAACTTCAGTACATAGCTCACTGCCTGCAGTGAGTGCTGTACGATCTGCAGTGGTAAAGCCGTAGCTGCCGGTGACATGGCCACGTGGCTTGGGTATGGATGTATCTGTGTGTGAACCTCTGGTGACCGATGAGGTCTCTGACTTCTCTGTTTTCAATATTCCTCCGCTTTTGGGCTTGTTGCTGCATCTTACTGTGGCTCTCTTGTGATTTCTGCTCTGCTCACCTGACTCTAAACCCCAAGCCATGTGTCTTCCATATCCTGGATCTTTCTGCAGCCATCCCATCCCCAACATTCCTCCAGAACCTCCCACTCCCTTCACGCGTTTCTCCAGCTGATGTCTGACCATTCCTCAGCCCCTTCCCAGCCTCTTGAAAGAGTCCCACAGCCTGGGAGTCAGTGCAGAGACACAGCACCCAAATGTCCCTACTGGGTCAAACCAAAGGGACATCTCTCTTGGAGCCAGGATTGTGCGGGTGCTCAGGGAAGGTAGCTTGGAGTGTGATATCTGCTGGTGAGTGGCGGGCAAAGGATGTCCCAGGAAATGGGGAAATGCAGTCATCAAATGTGTCCCCTATTCACCTTGTGGTGTTCTTCCCATAACTCCCTCTCTCCGTCTTTTCAGCTTGCCTTCCTGGATTTTACAAGCTTTCCCTCCGTCTCCCTCTCTGCTCTCCTTGCCCTGAGCACAGCTTCACGCATGAGGAAGCCTCCACGTTCTGTTTGTGCCAGAAGAACTACTCCAGGTCCCCGTCAGACCCACCATCTGCCTCCTGCACACGTACGTCTCGCTGAAATGGCGTCTCTTTGTAAGGCATCCAGACACCGCGTCTGTCCTGCAGCGCAGAGCCGGGCGGCTGCCGGGGGCTGTCCGAGGCTGTCCCCCCGCCAGCCCGTGGGAGCTGTGCCTGGGCACCCGTGTCCCGTCTGCACGGGGGCCCTGCTGCGGCGGGGG